AAAACTGTAATGAGAGTCCCAGGGAACCAAGATGGTGCATAGACAGACAAGCTACTTTGGCACAAACATTTAAAAAGAATTATGTTGGTAAGTAGGAGGACGTTTGATGTAGCAGAACTCTAACGCTTCCTGGAGGGTTGAAGCACTTGATGACAACACCCTTTGGAAAGTGCTTTGGTTTTCTGGGGTCCTTCAGGTAACCAAGACCTCCCTTTTTTCTAGAAACTTTCTAATGACTTGGCTAGGATTTAGGATTTGCTCTGTCACAGTTATCTCTACCCATCCTTAATTTTTTTTTTTGACAGGAGTCTCACTCTGTTGCCCAGGCCAGAGTGCAGTGGCATGATCTTGGCTCACTGCAACCTCTGCCTCCCGGGTGCAAACGATTCTCCTGCCTCAGCCTCCCGAGCATCTGGGATCACAGGCAACCACCACCACACCTGGCTAATTTTTGTGTTTTTAGTAGAGACGGGGTTTCATCATGTTGACCAGGCTGGTCTTGAACTCCTGACCTCAGGTGATCGGCCCACCTCGGCCTCCCAAAGTGCTGGGATTACAGGCATGAGCCACTGCGCCCAGCCAATTATTGTTATTATTTAGTGACAGATCTCACTCTTTCACCCAGGCTGCAGTGTGGTCGGCACAGTCATAGCTCACTATGCTTCAAACTCCTGCACTCAAGTGATCCTCCCACCTCAGCCTCCCAAGTAGCTGAAGCTACAGGTGCCCACTACTATGCCTGGCTAATTTTTTAAAAAAATTTTATAGAAATGGGATGGAGGGGTGGTCTCACTATGTTACCCAGGCCGTCCTCGAACTCCTGAACTCAAGCAGTCCTCCTGCTTCAGCCTCTCAAAATGCTGGGATTACAGGCATGAGCCACTGCACCTAGCCCCAAATATTTTAAAACTTCTTTTTTTGAAGGTCTTCATGGTAATCTGGGGTGTTCATGTGTCATAAAGTATTTAATCCCAGTTTGTATCATTTCTAAATTTTCAGCACTATAAACAACACTGTAATGAATATCTTTGAGCTAAAATTTTAACACTCTACTATGTAAGTGCCTTTAAAATTAGCAGTAGGTTATAAGTGGGAAGAAATTTATATGTTCCCCTTAGTGTTTGATTAAAACAAACATTTTTCATTGTACAAAGGCTGCCAAAACTTTCCCAAACTGTAAAAAATAAACTATTCCAGGCCGGGCATGGTGGTTCATGCCTGTAATCCTAGCACTTTGGGGGGCTGAGGTGGGTGAATGACTTGAGCCCAGGAGTTCAAGATCAGCCTGGGCAACATGGCAAAACCCCGTCTCTACCCAAAATACAAACATTAGCCAGTCTCATAACCGGTCTCTAAATAAATAAAGAGATAAAAATTTAAAATAAAATAAATTTAAAAGTAGCCATTAGAAACATTGTAATTTGGATGGGCGCGGTGGCTCACGCCTGTAATTCCAGCACTTCAGGAGGCCAAGGCGGGAAGATCACGAGGTCAGGAGATCGAGACCATCCTGGCTAACACGGCGAAACCCCGTCTCTACTAAAAATACAAAAAATTTGCCGGGTGTACTAGCGGGCACCTGTAGTCCCAGCTACTCGGGAGGCTGAGGTAGGAGAATGGCATGAACCCAGGAGGCAGAGCTTGCAGTGAGCCGAGACCGCACCACTGCACTCCAGCCTGTGTGACAGAGCGAGACCCTGTCTCAAA